TTGATTCTGATGGTTATAGTTTGTCCAAATGTGATAGTATTTTTTTGATATACTTGGAAGCTACTGGTAATCGGTACAATAGTATTTTTCATCTATGAACTAGCATACCTTTTCGAACTTTCTGAGTGAGACCTGTTAGAAACTGATAAAATATTTGCTCGAGGATAAGTGAATATATAACTGAGGTATTTAACCTAAGCTTGTTTATCGTTATTAATCATCACAATTAATTGTGTGGTTAATTTACACGCAGTAGTAGGATCGTATCATATATATGTCCGAGTTATGCTTAGTTCAAAGCTAAACTTGGAAATGAGATTTTAAGACATCATGAAAATGACAGCTCAATAAATTTTCTAAGCACGTAGCATACTGTCGTCTTACATGTACTTCTTTTTCCTTAAATAATGGCTTTCCTGAATCGTTAGAACTCATTTCTTAATGCCTTGAAAAGTGTTATATAATTTACTAAGAAACGAAATAAATCTTGGTACTGTCAAATTATAAAAGCCTTGAAATAATTTCGATAATTTTGTAATAAATGTTAGTGAATCATCCATAGTTTCATAGTTTCTGTACATTTTGTTCCGGTTGTTATAATTCTTGAGTCATCGTACTTTGTGAATAGCGTTATTTTACTTTAAGAAAAGATAATTAAATGAAAAGTGTTGTTAGGCAACCGTCATATATTACAAAGTGAAGGTGTTGTCGGAAATGTTAAGTTTTTGCATTATAAGATTCCTTTACATGAAATCCAACAAGTTTAAAGGATGGCAGAATTATGTGAAAGGCTTTAGTTGAGTAGCATGAGATTACTGAAAATTTGAAATTATCTAATTTTTGAGAAATAAGCGTAAAGAGTTGAATTGAAGACAAAATGGTTGGTGTGAATGATCGACTTGATAATTTAGTGAATTGGAAAAAAAAGTGTTTTTGTTTTCTTACGTTTGTTATAGTGATTCGTATGGAAGGGAGGCGTTAGGATTTTATTTTATGGGTGGGATGAATAGGTGATGATGTTTCCTATTCCTAAAAATGTAAAGGGTCATTCCAAGAAATGAGAGAGATATGTTAAAAGATTTAAAGGTTTTTTGAAAAATGATGTAAAATATGTGTATCTTGCCATGTCAGTTTCTTTTTCAATCCCTTTTACATTGATTTTTAGTTTAAATCAATTTTGAAGTTGATAGGGACCGTATAGGAATATTTCCTGAACCGGAAACAGACTTTGTACGAATAAAACCACCCATTTACTCCATTATGATATATCACTTTTTGACAAATAGCACGCCTGTAGCTGTGAGAAACATGACTGTGCACGGATTTTATGCATTAGAAAGGAAGAGGTTGTCATTACAGCATACGTTTATAATTCAGCTGTCGGTTCAAGCATTTGTCATTTGGTTGATTTAAAACAGTATGTTGGAATTTAGTCGTTGATTTTGCCGGATGTTGGGGTTTCCAACCGCTGCTGAAAATAACACATCAGTCGGGAGCATTGGAATGCTTTGTAATATATATCATCGTCGTTTTGGTGCAACCTAACTGCAATGGGTGTAACGCTTTCGTTTATCTGGTGTCTGCGTCTGTGTGTATTTTATACATGTATGTATCATGTATGTATGTGTGTATGTATCTGATCGAACGTATTTGTCCGTATTCCTGTCTGTAACAGATAGCAAAACGGGGGAAGTTGGAAGGGGGGAGATGTCTGCTCGGAAGTTGATGTAAATTCAATTAATCAAAGCAAATAGTTTTATCAAAAAGGAAGGATGAAATCCAATCAAATAATCCAATTTGTAAGCATTGAGGAAACGTTTACTAAAAGAATGTATAGCAAATTGATAGGAAATGGATAATAAAGAATTGTGGGATTGAAATAAATGAATGAAAAGAAGTGATCACTATAAGATGACCTGATTACATGAGATGGAACTGTGAAACTTGCATAATTTTTGTGAGGTTTAGCTAGTGATGTCGATTTTTCGAGTGATGTTTAGTATTATGATATTGTTTACAAATACCATTATTACTATAAGAAAATGTCACCTTTTTCTCCTTTTTTCCTTCCTTCCACACTTTCTTCCCTCCTTTCTTTCTGCATTTAGCCAACTGTTGGTTATTGATTGCTAGCTTGTTGAATGGATTAAACATATCTTCCTTTATGTTATTATGGTTTATTCAATTGGCGAGATTTAAATCACTAAGTAAATACAATATTATTGTTACTGTAAAGGATGGGTTTTGCTAGTACTTTCCAGACTTTTGCAGCAATCATAAATGTAATAAATGGATTTCAATTCTTATGAAACGATCAGATTAAATATTTAATAGGAGCATGATCTGTCTATATTTCTGGATGGTTAAGCATGTATGTGCGCGTGTTTGTATGTCTACATGTGTATGTATGTGTTGTAACAGCATAAACGCACCGTGCATAGTATGTGTTGGTCAGTGTTAAGGCGAAATGCGATGTGAGAATTCAGCAAAATTCTATGTCAGACAGAGAAGGATTGAAGAATATTTTATAAGTCAGCTCTGGTTTCCAGTTTAATTCCTTCATGTTTTTCCAGTGAGTGAAGTTTCAGCGTACACGTGGTTTCGTCTCATCTTCAGCCGTTCTCCCATTAAAATATTGTATTTTAGTGCTTAAGAACCCGATCGATTTCTTTCATAACACTCCTTATCTCTAAATATCCTTAATTTACCTCAGCATAAAGGATTGATGAAATCAGGAATGTAGCAGAAAGTGAAGTGGCAGCATTCACTTCAGTGAAATTAATGTTATGGCTGTAGTTATACCTAACAAAAACTTGTAGGGAGGTAGGAGAGAAATGCTGTCATTACTTTTCACTGTCAAAATTTTGTTAAAAGAGTAGGTAAGCCATCAAGTCATGTTTCACTTGTCGAAAGAATGTCTGTAATATATATATACAAAATTGTAATGTCAAAAATACTTGTGATGCATTGATGTACGAATGAAAATGTATGAATGAAGACGAGACATTCATCACTCTCTCATCTAGTCAAGCAGTGAAAGGTCGTTAGTATTGATGGAGAGGTTAAACATCGAGGCGCTCTTTTTCAATGAAATATGGAAGCAAGTAAGCGACTGTAGTAATACTTTCCTTATTATTATTATCAGCTCTGGTCTAAGGAATAGGAGAGGGAAAGAAAGCCGACTTTAGGTTTTATTGATATCTTTCGTCTCACCTGATCGATATTGCACTTTTTTCAGATTTGACTTTCCACTCCCCTTCTGGTCCTCCTTCTCTCTGCTATTTTCTTAGTTATCGGAATCATTCTGTGGAGTTCATTTTCCCAAAATTTCCAGAACCCCAGTTGTATCATCACAGTGTGAAAGAAACAAGAGCGCTAGTGTATTAGGGGAGCAGTATGTAGATACAGATGATGTGCAGGAAGAGAAAGGGGCAATACAGTACGAAGGTAGGATGTAGTATGATATTGCAAATAAAGTTTTGGATAGCTAACAAAAGTGGAGAGATAAGTAGATGGATGGGTAGCGTAGTACCTATGGGTCATATATACTCTTATAACTGCGGCGGTAGTGGTGCTAGTAGTAGTTGTTGTAGTAATAGTGGTTGTAACAATAATTTATCTACGACGAAAAGCATTTGAAAGAGGACATTAGTAAGCTCGTCAACATTTATGGCTACGCAAGAATAGTAGACTTTAGAAAGTAGATGGAAGAGAAGGGGTTTGGGAAAGCATGAGGGGAGGGTGAACATGGGGAAGAAAGGGGTGTTGATTTCGGGTTAGTTGGACGAGGAGAGCGTAAACTAGACGATATCAGGACCGCCTTGCAAACAACTCTTCCAATAATTTTGTTCATTCGTATTCTTTCTGTCCTTGTCTTTCTCCATCAACCGTTGTTTGGTGTATGTATGTATGTGTGTATGTATTGCAGTAGTGCTGATGGCAAGTCATCAGGCAGCAACAGCGGACGACAACAGCAGCAGTTGGAGCAGCACGGCACACAGTAATGCATTTTGCATGTTGTGTGTATGGTTGCCCATAGCATGATAGCCCAATCTGTCGAAGTTTTCGTGCAGTCGATAAGTCACCATTCCCGAGCTTGTACATTAGGAGCAGTAATTGAGCAAGCATCTAATACCTGTTAGTGGTAGAAATAATAAAGTAGTATTTAATTAGATATATTAGTGAGATTATTGTACTTATGGTAGCGGTAGCAATAACACCTTTCACAATTTTGTCTTCTGGGAAGCTTCATGAGGAATTTATGATTCAAGTAGTAGTGTTGAAACATTATGATTTCGTATAGTTGTCATCCCTACAGCAAGTAACATTTAGCAATCGATCAGACCGGTTGAATAACTCTAGTTTTCTTCCTCTCACTCCTGTGTTGCTGGTTATATGCTGGATGAATGCCTTCCTTCATCACTGGATGATTTGGCGTGCTTGCGACAATTCGAGTCGTCTAATATATTTCGGATTTCGACTATTTCCATTGACTGATGCAATTTAATAGAAATCAATTTTTTCTGGATTATTTTTGCCCTGAAAGACTTCAAAGCAATATCAGGATGTATTAACAAAAGAAAGAGAGAAAAAAAATTGGTGAGGGCAGTAGGCCTTCACCATGATCTACAGAATGCTATCATTTTGAGTCTGAGATCATTGTGAAAGCTATTTGCCTTCTACCGTCTCCAAACATGCATGCATAGTCTGCAGGCTTTAAAACTTCAGTTTTCCGTAATTTTATACTTCTTACTTGTTGAAGTGCTACATACTCGTATCTTTTTCTCACTTCAACAGGTTTAGTTATAACAGTAATCATGGGTGGAATAGCTTTATAGATATTCCAATTATTTCGGGTATGAAGACGTTGCAGTTTATTGGGTAACAAAACTGAAGTTTCATCCGTTTTGATGTGTTATGAGTGGTTGATGACGCATGAGTATTACAAATTGGTGTGAAATCTGAAATATTTCTTTAAATATTTAGAGAGAAGAAGCATAATGGTGGACATAGTTGCCGGACGTATTAATCGTGTGCTGGAAACACTTGAATCCTTCAGAAGCCAGTGGACACCAGCTGTGGCACGGCAGATCGATCTAGTACGTCGTGTTTATAATGAGTTATTGATTGACGATGATCCAGAAGCGGAGCTGTCGGTAACTGCAGAAGTGGTACTTGCACAGGCTATGGAAAAATTGGGAGACATGCTGCAAGAGGTAAATAATTGGAGGACTAAACTGTTTTCTTCTTTTTTTTTTTTTTTTTTTTGATATTTTGTCAACTTATTCTTAAAAATTGGGAAAATTTATGTTATTCAGGAGCATGAAAGTGGTTTTTTTCGGGATTTGTTTTGACATTTCCAAAAAATCATACAAAACTCGAGAAGTTCGGAAAGTTGATGTATGTAATAATTTTTCTGAAATAAAGGTTCGATTTAATTTGAGATGGCGCATCAACACCGGAGTACTCATCAAATGTTGTCAAAGATTGGCAAAGCTATCGACAGATATTTTATCACGGATCTTAGTTCTTTAACGAAAATTGATAAGAATATTGATACAGATCCAAGACTGCATGGAAGAGTCAACGCTCTCATCACTAATCATTTGACGAGTACCGGAAAATTCGATGTTGCGGATATTCTGACGAAAGTAATCTAATTTCAACAGTTGTTTATTTTTGAAGACAATTAGTTAAGGGTGCCGAACTTAGCATTCGGAGTGTTTTAGGAGGCACAGCTGCCAGCATCGGAAGGTTTGGAATTCAATGTGGATGATATCCGACATTTAATGGAAGCGTTCCAGAAAAGAGATATTACTCCCGCACTCCAGTGGCTCAAGCAAAATGCTTCGCGAGATGAACAACTGATTTATGATCTTCAAAAACAACATTTTGTCAAACTTCTGGAAGATGGTATAACATTTGAACTAAAGAGGGAAGAGCTGTATTTGAAGAAATCGTTTATTTGCATTTCCAGGGCAAACTATGGAGGCTTTGCAGTACAGTCACCATCTTTCGAAAAATCCAGACGAGATGATACAATTGCTGTGGGCAATTGTTGCCAAAGATCGTAAAACGCGTTATCCTGATCTTTTCAATCCCGTTGTTTGGCAGCAACTCGAATTGCGTCTTGCTCGAGTTATGTCTCGATCAGAAAATTATCTCAGTCAAATGTATGTGAATCTCACTATATATCTACACATTTTAGTTGCAGCGAACCTGACACTCTAGTTAATCATTTTCAGTTTTTGACATGGTCTTATAGAATTGTAGCATCATTTCAAAACTTCTAATATTCTTTAAATTCAGACGTGTTATCGTTGTCACACTCACTTCATATTATTCACATGTTGAAAAAAGTGATTATTTCCATGGTGCCACTTCATTTTATTTAGATTTTCCAAAACTCATGATTTGTAATAGCGTTAGCATACGAGCAAATCAGCAAATTTTGCTTTTCATCCACAGTTAACTAGATTTATCCACTGAGAGATCTGAATATTTTCCTGGATTTGGAAAATCACTGTAATGTACTAGGGGCATTGCTTTTATGTTTACTTCAGTCTTGAACTTGGCATCAAGATGGTACCATCACTCATTAGTCTTCGTCAGCTAATGATAAATCGATCACTGGAATCTCTTTTTCAAGGTGATGAATTGCCCATTGAAGTGGATGTGCCGAATGCCGCCCATTCTGTGTTCGCTTGCCCAATTCTTAAGGTTCTTTTTATTTAATAGAAGGGCTGTTGCATTCATTTGACTCTCAGTTTTGTAACTTTGATTCCCAAATGTATTTTCAATATTTTGGACTCTTGGAATTTCGAGAATTTTCGTGTAGTTAATCACTTTTGTACAGCACTTTTTATGTATGCAGGCACAGTGCACGGAACAAAATCCTCCTATGCGTCTCACATGTGGTCATGTAATTTCTCGAGAAGCACTTCATAAATTAGCCCAAACAGGACGTTTCGTTGCACCGACCAATTTGGCTCCTTCCAATGCTTTCAGTCATATTCGTTTGAAGTGTCCGTATTGTCCAGTGGAATCATCAGTAGCTGATGCTAAGAGAGTATATTTCTAATATCTCCTATCAAATATATGTAATTTTTTATACATATGTTCTGTGTATACATTTATTGATTGTTTACAGTTTACATGTATTGCTTGTTTACAGTTACCAACTAATTTGTGCCATTTCCCGGCATTCATTACACAGTCGGTCGTTTCAAGGTGAAAATATTGCTATGAGATTATCACCATCTTTGCTTTGGTGTCACCCTGCTGCACCCTACACAAAGATTAGCGATGCTGATAAACGTTTTCCGGGATAGGTAGTACAGTTCAAGTTAACAATACCATTGCTAAACTATTGTAAAGTGCCCTTGCATGTACAACTTTGTCCCCTCCGCAATGTTCGTCTCGCTGACATATGTTTGGAATGTCCCCCTCGATTCTATTATCTTTTCAGTGATTACGCCTTGCTGTATTTTATTATTGTAAACACGATTTGTCTTATGGACTATCGTTAACCTTGAAACTATTAACGAAATTTAACTTGTATATCATTTTCCTGAATTCTTATTCGGGACAGTGAGTGGAGTTGTTTATTTCAGAGTATGTCTCTTCTTGGTGCAATTTTCATAACGTCCTGATGAAGATTTGAGTATTTTGAAAGATTGATGCCAAATTGCGTGGTGTTTATCAACAACTACACATTATGTGTATCGATTACTAGATCATGTCCGAGTTTCTACTTATATCTCTACTGATAGATACGCTGACTTCAACCCACTTTAACTAACTGTTGGTTTTTTTACTAATTAAGCTATGCATACTTTATGCTCTTATGGAAATGTCTCTTTTGTCTTTGTCTTGTCGGTCTTGATTTGTTTTTCAACATGGGAGTTATGAAGGGATGATGCTTTTAAACAGAAGTTCTGGCTAATGAATAAGAATTTGAAAGAACACAAGCACATTGAGCACTTTCAATGTCGCATAGATTCAAGGAGCAAGTTATTTGCATAGCTACTTGTGATTGTCGAATCATTCTACAACCTGTTACCATTTAATCCGACTCAGCATCTTTTGCGCTGATACAAAATATAAAATCCAAGAAATGCCAAAATCGCACCTCCATTATGAGGAGTAACGTGTTCTACGTGTGGTTTTTTTTTATCGCCTTGAATTTTATATATACTTCAACAGAAGCTGGAATGTGCCGGACTAGTACATCTTTGCTAAATAGACGAACAGTGATACTTAGCAAGAGGAACTCAACTTTTTTTTACATGGAGTAGCAGTGCTTACTAGCAATCCTAGAAAGTTCGCGTTTCTCACCAAATTCAGTGAAAAATTGAAACTCTTCTAGGTGGCGCATGATTCCAGAACCTTAAATCATTAATTGTTAAGACTTCACTTGACCTCCTCTAATGTACCCTTCGATCCCTCATTTGACAAAGAAAAACTGTTCGTTGCTATACGTTGCATTAAAATTGAAGAAATCAAAGAAAAAAATATAATGATTTATTGTGCATTTTTCAGAGCAAAAATTATAAGAAAAATTAACTTCAAATTTCTCTGCGAAAGTTTCGAGTCGACAAACAACTTAAATAAATTAAAATTTAAAAAAGTCCATACAAAGTTTGTTTCAAGCTATAAAGACACAAAAAGTTAAAGCATTATCCAATATCGCGACATTGGCGAATTATGCAATACAGCAATTCAAACAGTAGTTTAGAACAGTGATTCGACAAATTTCGAACAGATGATGGACAGTATACATGATAATAAAAATATCAGATGCCATCATTTCAAACAAATTAAATGGGAAAAAACAGAATAAAATTAAACCGTATGCAAGAAGAGATACCATAAAACGTAAACGAAATCAAAACTGGAAAAAAAAAAAAGATTCATTGGTTTTTCCAAGCGTATAATGCGCTGCTAAAGCTTTAAACTGCAACCAATATCGGTCATAATAACTAAAATTGCCATAAACAACAACAACAACACTGGAATTAGACAAGAGATAATTCTGAATGATAATATTATATGGATAATAAACTTCGTATGCTGAATGGATGCATTTATCACAAACACACACACACAAATAAACGTCGTATCCAAATCCCAGAATACGTAAATAAGTACCATTAAAATTATCCATCCCCAAACATATTTAACACATACATACACTTAATACAATTGCACTGATGATGGAACAAATGGAAGGATTCCATGAAGGATACCAAAAATAAAATATTTGAAAAAAAAAAGGCTAAAAAGCTCGTGGTATATTTGTCACGAATGCAATAACATGGAAATATCTAAAGCAATACGTTAACTGAGGCTTTCAGATAATAAATTGATGATAATCGTCACTTTCTCTTATCCTCGGAAGTCGGAAACATTTTCACACATATATACTTTAGTCAACTAAATGTTGTTGTCGCTATTTTGTGCAACGCAACGAACAACTTTATGAACTTAAGCTTCGTATATTGCCAATCTGGTATTCTAAACCAATCAGTTAATAACTTGAACTGACTTCCGTCAAGCTCAATTATCATCTTTCATGTGTCAAAAAAGAAAAAAAAATGTTTCAGAAACAAATGCTAAAATAGTTTCAGTTTAAAATTTTAAATTCCCAGTTCCAAACATCCAACTAAATATAGGCTGCCCATTCAATCCGGTCAAAATATTCCAGTGAGATGTCTCACAACAATTTTCTTTTTCCCCAGTCTCATCAAATCCCACAGAATATCCAAGAAATCATTAAAAAAAAAAAAAAAAAAAAAAAAAAAACAGAAGCATCAAGTACATGTGACGGGAATAGTTAATGCAACGAAACTATTGATTCAGATTGATGTAAGGAAACGAATGATCTATAACTGAAGCACATATGAAGTATTGAAAAAAAGAACCAGTTCTGCTGATTCATTTTGGAAAAAAATTTGAAAGCATTCAGGCATTATAATAAAAATACAAAACAGAGGTTCATTACGCAAATTTCACTTCGGAATTTTAGAAATTGCAATAAATTCTTGCCAAAAGTGAAATTTTAATATGGTGCAAAACGATTCAGCGTACGATACGTAGCTGTTGCCATAGCTGGATAGCCTGGTAGAGCTGCTGTTAATGCTTGACCGAGATACTGCTCACCAATGGATGTAGTACCAGCTGTACCTGCCACAGCATTACGCGCTGCTGCTGCCGCTGCTGCTGCTGCCATTAAAGCCGGATTTGCTGCTTAAGAAAAACAGGTGAAAATTTATGATAGAAACTAGAATTGATTTAAACTTAACTTCATGACGAGGCAGTTACTAAACATGCGAACAGAAACATTTATTCTTTTTCATAATCTTCCAAATAGGAAGCATAACATACCTTGTGCAGCAACAAGCTGCAAACGTGCCTGCTCAGTTAATAAAGTTGTTGGATCATAAGATTGTTGCAGTGGTTGAGTTGTTTGAGGCAACTGAGCAGCACCGAGTAACAGACTCTGATTTTGCATTTGAGCTGCGAGAGCTGGTGTAATGAAACTCAACTGCTGAGGTTGTCCAAGTGCAGCAAGTTGACTTTGCACATTAAGAGTTTGCAAATTCCGAACTGCTAACGCTTGCGCTAACGGATTTCGTAAGTATAACGCACGATTTGCTGCAGCTGCTTGTTGAAGTGCTGCACCCTGCAATGCGGCAACCGCCAAACTAGCATCCACCATTCCTGGAAAAATGCATTAACTCCGGATAAATTTATGCATATAATATCTTTCACTTCAAAAAAAAAAAAAACCAAACGTGACTTGAAATAGTTCGAAAATTTCTAACATAGTCATAATAACGATTAATAATAATAATAATAAAATATATCAAAGTTAAGAGCAGCAAACTATAAGCGGCGAAAACTATTTGCGTAATCCGTCTCGGTCCTTTATTTATCCTTCTCACTAATTCTTTTCCTGCGTTCCATCTTCTTTTCTTTTCTCTGAAGTGTCTTTTTTCTACTTCCTTTTTCTTCCTTTTTGTATGTTTTTCTTCAAATATTTAAATTGAAATTCTGCTCAAATTTCATGTACGGAATTTTTCGGGTACAAAAACGAAAATATGGGAAAAAGGAAAAAACATTTTGCAAACTATTCATGCACAGTAAAATGTGAGAGCATATACCATAAAAACTTTCAGCGTAACTTGACAAAACATGCGTAGGAGCCACAAGTGCAGCGCGTGGAAGTGAGCATTTTAAACCAACAAAACTGCAGAAACATCCAGTATTTTTTTTTTAATTTCAGATTTCACACTTCTACACTTTAACCCAAATGCGCGCTGCTCGTGCAGTTTACTCGCACGTTAAAACGAAAACAGTAATAGTCGCAGTAATAAGAGTATTAATAATAACATAATAATGACAATGATAATCATAAATATTATTATAATAGTAACAGTTACAACAAAAAACATATCCATCAGACATAGCTGCCCTTATTTTTTTGACAAGTATATGCAGAATTTCAATGATTATTTGAAGCAACAACGCGTAAAAAGTTCAACTGCATGCAATAAAAAAAGCACGGAGCCGGATGGCTGTTACAAAATCTGCACCTTCCTTTCATTTCTCAACACTTCTTTAAAACGTGCAATCGATCATTTTACATGCAAACCCAATTTTACTTAATGCAGTTTTTCCTTTTTTTAAATAGAAAAATGCAGATTATGCAAATTTTTAAAAAAACACCGAAAAGAAAAGACAATATAAATTTTTCGAAAAAGTTCAAAATTAAGTAACAGGTAACGTCACTTTCGTTCTCTCATTCTCAATTGTATTTCTTTCTTTCTTTTTTTTTTTTTTTTTTTTTTTTTGAAAATAAGATAAAGATTTCGGCTCACCGGGTGCGACTTTCGGCTTCTTGGTGTGTATACGGGCAGTGGCGCAATTCACCTCAAAAAAGGCGACTATTAGAAGTCGTCCGGAATAACTTCCACAGTCTTATTCTTTTATTTTTGTTTTTGCTTGTGAGAAACATGCCAGCGAAACGTACGATAAAGAAAAAAGTAAGCACCGCAAAAGAAACATCTGCCAAATATCAACAGATTTAAGAATATGCGTTTATAAAAAGAAAAATATATTTCCCCATCAGAAATTTGAGATTTCAAAAAATTCAGAGGATCTTGGTTAAATCTAAAATATCGATAAATGAATGCATATACTGGACGAATAAAGTAACGTAAGAGTGGCCCAATGATTGGGGAGAAGAGCTTCCTGGAATCTGGAATATTTTGGTGACTTGGTAAGCCAGGTGAAATAAAATCATTAGGCATAGGTCGCTATATATATATATATATATATATAGCATTGCCTCTTTAAGATATAGCATATATATTAAGTGTTTGATTTCTCCACACTTCAATGGGTAGCCATGCAAAGGATCAGGAAACTTTAAATATAGTCAGAAAAGATCCGAGCTCGCAAGGATTAGTAAAAGTCCATTTAAAAAAAATTAAAATACAGAAATGCAGTAGGATGCAAATTCTCTGTGTAAAGCAAACACAATTAGACGATCCCAAAAACGTATGTGCGCCCCCTACGGTGAATTTTCAATAACAATTTATTAAGCGTCATGCTCAATAGAAAACATTGTTTTGATTCAAAGAATGGAACTAAAAAAGTGCATTCACCATCACAGCTTCTCTCTTTTACTGGATTTCAGGAGACACCAAATTATGAACATATTAGTTTTTCAAGACCAAGTCTGCAGCTTTCTCGCTGAATTTTAGCACTCTAGATTCTGGATATTTCTAATTTCAGATAAGTTACCTTAAGAGTTATTTGGGAGAAAAGTCCACTTTATCTCTCACCTTTGCTTTTGTCATTCTTTTTTAGAAATTATCATTTCCTCCAAGTCTTTTCCCACGCGATGTGAAGGCCTTAACTGGAAATTATAATTAATCTCAAAAATAAGTGTTTGGGACCAGCTAGAAGTTTTTCCACATAGAAATTAATTTTAGGAAAAATAAGGTCTACTCAATAACGATAAAAAGATGTGACATACACTTTCCATTCATGGCAGATCTTCAGGCTGGTTATTCCCTGAATTAATGAAGTTTAAAGGAGTGCATAAGTTGGTTATGGAGACTGAGACAGATTCAATCCTACAGAAAAAATATTCTAATATAGAACCAAAAATATGAGAAAATGGTTTTTTGTAAATAAGGGGATTTCATAGTTGCTTGCAGAAATAACAATGAGCCAAAAATAATTAAAAAAAGGGACGCAAAAAATGTAAAATATCTTAGCTTAGAGACAGATGTGAGCGAAGGTAAGCTTGAGCGAGGTTTATAATACAAAGAAGTGTCGGGAAGTTTCCTAGAGAGAAAAAAGCGAGCAAAGTTTGTAATACAAAAGAGTGCCGGGAAGTTCATGCTCAGGTAGAACATATTCCAGAAACTCAACTTTGTAGCAAGCAAATATATCAGGTAGATATTTAGCAATAGCATTATACCCGGTAAACTAAACGTTTCATAACAAGACAGAGAGCAACCATAAGCCGACTTTTTAATAGCTTCGTTTGGTGCATAACAAACAAGCAAACCTCTATTTTGCGACCCTCAACAGAAGAACCATGCAATTCTTGTCTAGCTTTCTCCGCATCTGCTGATTTCTCCATAGTCACAAAACCAAACCCCTGGAAAAAGCAGAACAGTTTGAAGCAAAAACAACATTTTAAAATTTAGGCAGTTAGTTTTGATTTAAAAAAAAAAAAAACGCTTGCTTCGCCCAAAAATCCGAAGCACGCAGAAATGTATTAACTAATCAGATAAGCTATATTTGCCCTCCCTAATCTTTTTTTTTTTTGTTTCAAGAAAAAACGCCACAATTACCTTACTACCACGTTCATTAAATATTATTTCAACATCAGTTACAGGCCCATATTTCTCAAACATTGCCCTTAAATCGGGATCACGAAATCGGAATGGTATGTTTGACACGTGCAATCGTTTGGGTGCACTATCAACGGAATTTGACGATGTAGATGGATCTGGTGTAGTTAAAGCATTTGGTGCGACTGGCTGCGACTGGACCTAAAGGAAATTTTAAAATAATATTGAGGAAAGCTGTAGGCTTAGGCTTTGCAAATTAATAGATTTTCGGATAAACTTGCATTTCAGCGGAATTCCGACCTCTGCTTATTTAAAATACCCTTATTTTTATAAATTTAAACAAACTGCAGAAGGTGGTGGTATCTGTGGGCCGATCCCTGCAACTGCAGCCATTTGCATTTGGACTTGGAGATCATACTGCTCTCGTGCCAACTTCTCATCTTGTTTCTCGCTTTCTGCATTTGATACAACCGCACCAACTACGGGTGCTGCAAGCAACCCACCCGATTGATGCATTGCAGCTGCTGCAAATTAACTTCATTTATTAAAATATCTGACAGGAAAAAAATATTAGACGATATATTTGATTGGCATATTATCAAACTACAGTATGAAAATATTTAATGCCTCGTTACCCTGGTACATTCGACATTACCTGATATGGATATTGACTGCTCATTATTCACGGATAAAAAACAATATGGCGCAAGTTGGGCATTGTGTATACATTAGAAACCTCGAGTAAAAATTTTGATTAAGCGTATGCAAAATACAAATCACTGCTTCGAGACATAAGTCCACTTTTTCATTCATTCCAAAAATATTGAATTACTTGGAAAAAAACACTACATAACTTCCTTCCTTTAAAATTAAGCTCAAAAAATAATGAACTTATCACCTAGTAACGCATCAGATTTGTGAATTCAGTAAAATCTGGTAAAGAAAAAAAAAAAACAGTAAAAAAAAAAAATTGCTTATGTTTTCTTCTTATCTTCTACCGATGAAACTATGCTCGTTATTTATTTCCCAGTGAGGAATTTCCGAAGACTCATTTTACAGAAACTTTTAGCACCTTATAAACAAATGAATACCTGCAGAAGCTGCGGCAAACTGTTGTTGTTGAGCTACTTGGATTTGCTGCAGAAGTACAGGCGAAACGCCGGCTTGCATGAATTGTTTCATAGCCGCAAGATTAACAGGTGGCTGTCCAGGACTCTGGAACGCTTGTGGTGCTGCATTGGCTGATAAATGATATAAAGCTTGCATAATCTGCAACCAAAAAGGAGCATTACTCATCGGAAAAAGAAAAATAATATATTCAACGTAACAACTTAACATTACAATAATTCTGGAAACTAAATTTCGATAGACATCGGAGGATAATTAATATTAGCCTAACCTAACCTGAATTTTAAGATGCAATAACTACCATGATATTTGAAACTATATAAGGTTAAACTTGCTTCTACTGAAGACACATTATAACAGTGTCACACATACTTGCATGCTGCATCAGTAGTTCATGATGACATATGAGCAAGAAGTACAGAAAATTCGGTGTTTGAAAGGCGCTAGAAAAATTTCGCACCAGCAATGCAATCCCTGATTCGATTAATTTTACGTTCATCAAATGATGACTTACAAATATAATATCTGACCAAGCGTGGTGACAAATGACGAAAAAATTTAAAATAATCAGAATAAACGAAAGATAATCGCCACACGACCTATGAAGAATATGGTTATGAGAAATGATAATGCATAAGCTATTCAAAGAGGTAAGCTGCGATGATGGTAAACGAACTGACACAAACTGTATTACATTCACCGCCTGTTACCAGCAGAATATCACCACTAATTAATTTTATCCATTAAACACTAGGTTTTCTCGATTAATTTAAAGTTTATAAGCATTATCTCTCCTTATACCTGTAAAAAATAAAAACAAAAATTTGGAGGAACACATATCAAATTTAAACTACCACCAAAACGTCAATTCCAAATTTGAGAAATTAAAATTAATTAAATTTTTGAATATCTGATGCTGAACCAGTCGCGTAAACTGGTCACTTTAGGCGCTGGATGCTGATACGATAATTATTCAGTGGTTGCTTGTTAAGATGCAACTATGAGATCGTTCACATAGTAGTAAACCATTTCATATCTAACCAAATCAAAGTGACTATCAAATATCAACATATCATTAATATGGCTATCGGTCATCATTATTTCGGTTTTAAAAAAAAGGAAAACAGAAAAAAGACTCCACCAATAGGAAGACCGTCAGACTGACCATTCATCAGAGCATTTTACCCAGAATAACAGACTTTTACTGGAAACATTCCGGAATATTCCCACAATGCTCGAAAATTACAGGCCCTATGTGAAACTTGAAAATCCTGTGTCAATTAGAAAGGTAGAAAATGTAATTGACCGAATAAAGTCGTTAAGGTGAAGATTGGTCCGGATGATGCTTTTCAAATGGCTAATTAAACTTTAAAAGTGGGAAGACTTCATTTATTGAAGTGAAAAATATGTATGAACTATCATTTGCTTCATCTTCTTTCTATCAAAACAAAAAAAGAGAAAAGGAAACCTGGATTGTTTCCGACTTATTATGACTAAAGAATCGTAATTTCAAGAAGAGAAATTCATAACACCAACATGTATCCATTATGATCAGAATAGATGGAACATTTTCTTCATTTTTTCCTTCATCATATTTCTTTCATCTGCGATGATTCCAACATCAATAAGTTAAACATTCGACTAATATGGTTCCAAAAAAAAAACATTCATAATTTCAATCTTTAAAATTAAAATGGAAAAAGAAAAAAAAACGGAGGAAACAAATGAAAATAAAGGATCAAAAATTAAATAGAAATATTATGAAACTAAAAAACTCATAAAGCTTGCTGAGAAGAAAGAGATAAAGACATAAATCAAAACAATGCAATACACTCAAAACATTGACCAATAACTTTATCAATTATCATTCCCCCTCGCAATGCTATCGTTTCCATTTCTTGAATTACTTAAATACTACAAATTACTTAAGCAAAACACTATCCACATTTCAATTTCCTTATTTTAATTCTCATTAGTTAAAGAAAATTTTATGTCACATATAACGCATGCAATATCGCATTCATAAATAATTTAAAATTTGCGCAACACTTCAAATTATTTTACATATATATTCCTAACAAATCTTTATTCTAAAAATAGAAAATTATAGCAAATTATATGACAGAATATCAGAAAAAAAGAAGATTTATCAAATAATTTAAATTAAAAGATAAAAGTTAGGAGGAAAGAGTGAAAGAGAAGAGTGGGAAAAAAATGAAGAAATGAAGAATTTCTCTAAGGTTTTGAAATAATAAATATTGTATATATACATACTTTATCTAATAGTTTTGTTAAAATACTAATTTGCCTAGAATTATATATATATATTTAATTTTTTTTTTTCAGAAGAACTTGTGTGTGTGTAAATATATGCATATGCACATATAACAAAAGGAAAATAGTGGTAAATTTTTGAAGTAGAAGTAGACTAGCGTCGATGACACAACAGGATTGATAGTGGAGCGATTGGATCGATCCTGAATTGACGGAAGGAATGCCTTCCTCTCTTCCCGATCTCTCCACCATTCTCGGGTCTATCATCATAAATCAATGGAAGAATGCAGTAAGAGTCGAGAAAATTGAGCCTAACGGGAAGGGCGGATTTGTTCCTAACGAATTAACAATATGATGAAGCAGTAAGAAAAAAAAAAAAAACGAAAAAACAAAATAAAGAAAGAAACAGTAGTTTGAATGAAGAGGAAAATAGATGATGAATCGTCAAATTCAAAAGCTTCTTGCTTATCATCATCATCAACTTTTCCTCATTTCATTTACAAATACTTTAAGGGAGAAAGAGAGAGGCAGGGGGGAGTGAGGAAGGCAAGAAGGAAGAGAGAGAGAAGGAAAGAAGGAAAGAAAGAAAAAAAGAGACAAAGGATGAAAATTTCATAAAATCCATTTTATGTCATTCGTAACTTTTTTTTTTTCTTGAAAAATCTTTTCTAAAGTAGAATTTTGAAATTTAAATCATATATAAATAGAAATAAAAAGGAATGGAAAAGATATAATCTTAAATTCTAAAAAAAAATGGATTTTTTTGTTGTTGGATTAAAACAAAAAATAAAAAAAAGAAGGTAAAAGGAATTTCTCAAAAAGAAAGGCAAAATGAAAAAATACAAACAAATAGGCATAGATGAAAAAAAACCAAATAATAGCACAAAAATGAATGATAATGTATTGATTACTAATTAAATAAAGTACAATGATTGCATAAAAAGTTAAGAAAAGTTGTTTAAATCTATCAACTAATTCGATTACCAGCCGTTCATTTCAAATTTAACCAGAAATAATTCAGATTGACATGTTATTTACTATAAGAAGTAAGTTCGAATGTTTTACTTAGCTTTATTTTTTTTTCTTTTGAAATTACTCAGTAAAAAAAAGAAGTACGTTAATTATTGAAATTAAATAAAATCTTATATTAAACACGAAATTCAGAATATTAATTTGAAACAAGAATTAAATGCTGCATGGGGCAATTAATACCACAATTATTATTTCAAAAAAATTTATTTGTAATATATTACATCCCTGGTGATTAAATTACGATTATTTATCATATAAGCATACTTTGAAGATTAAAAAAATAAAAACAAATTAGTGTTTAAATATTCGTAATTACAAATTACATTTCTGTCAGCAGTCTAAACATAATTGCAATATGACAAAATCCGCCACATTTACTACTCTCTATCATTTTAATGCTTAATAATTACGAATGTGGTGCAAAAAAAGGAAAAACTATTTTTGATCGAAAAGAAATGAAATTTTCATTTCTCACTTAAAATGCAATGGACATGATAAGCTTAGTGTATTTGAGTGACAATTCTTATCAAATATCATCGGCATGTTACACATCAATCCTTTTCATCATCAAAATCTTATTTGTTAAATTGAATAATAAATTTATGCTTGATAATAAATTTTATAAGCATATAAAAATGAAAATGGAAATATATGAATTTCAAATGTGATGATATTTGGAATGAAAGCATTAATTGAAAATGTAGAACATTTGAATGTTTGTTTGCTTTTACAAAGTACACCCATACATCATTTTTCGTGGTGGCACAAAAAATTGGGAACAGTGCGGCAGTATGCCATTTCGAGTATTGAGGCTTAGTAATCTAAATTAGTATCACTTCTCAGTTCTGAAGCTTTTCAGCAAACTTTCCAATAAAATTTAAAAATTGGAAAAAAAAAATGCCAAAGATTGAAATTTCTGGGACAGTTTGAGCTAAGTGTGATCACCGGGAATGACTTAATTTCTTTCTTTCTTGTTTAATTTTTGGCATACTTCAGTGAATTCGAATGATTGAAATGAGTCAATTTATTTGTCCCAGAAAGCTCTGCTCTATAGTTCCTTCGAAGATCTAATAAAAAGGAATATCCAGTGTGCTTCATAATGTACGAAACTGCCGAACAATATTGAAATGAATCATTTTGAGGAACGTAAAAATTTGATTTCACTCTTAATATTTTTTTGGTTAAGGCACACTTTACTCTCTCTCTCTCCCTCCCGATCTCTCTGTTCTTGCCCATTTCATTTAGGAAGAAAGGGAGAGGAAAAGAATTTTATGGTTGGGAAAAAGGGAAAAGGGTGATCAGCGGAAAGTATATCTAACAGATAATCATTTATCATGATAACGTTAAACATTATGAATGAAAGGATCAAAAAGAGAAAAAGAAAAAGAGAAAAAGAGAGAAAGAAAAAGAAAGGGAAAAGAAAGAAAAAGAAAAGGAAAAGAAAGAAAGAAAGAGGGAAATATGAAAATGATGATAACTGATAATGAAATTCTGAAATATGAAAAAATGATTGGTAGAGGGAGCGGTGAAACGAAGGAATAGCAAATTTAAAAATAAAGAAAAAACTGATTGCATGAAATCCTATAAACTTTGAGAGCATTTCCCATTTTCCCCCCTTTCCTTTTCTTTTCAATCATTTCTTATCAAAATAATTATAATAAAAGGAGTGAAATCCAAATTTCCTTGTTATTAAATGAAAAAAAAAATTGCCTCCATATCACTTCCAAACAAATTTATTATTATCAATTATTATTATTATTACTGTTATTATTATTATTATTATTATTATTATTATTATTATTATTATTATTATTACTATTACTATTATTATT